ACCCCCGCTTTAATACAATAAATTACAGCACGTCGATGGACGGAGAACACAGGTACTAACAACGACGTTTTCAGCTCTGTTTCAGTTATATTTAGCACGATTTTAGTGATTACCGGTAATTCACGACTGGCTACGGACGAGACTGCAGATTACGTGATTACTCGGACAAAAATACCACGTGACACCTGCAAACAGTACATAACATATATACATAAGCGTTCCCACTTACCGTCTGGAAATTGCCTTTCAAAAATCGATTTCTACAAAGTAAAGAAATAAAACAAAGTTGTCAAAATGAAACCAGAGTTAAGTGGATCACGAAAAAACGAATCACAACGACTTACAATCTATGACAAGTACATGCCGTGTAACTTAGGGTATGTATTGGTACGCGCTTCCCGTAACTTGACACTCACGTCGAATTATATATTTCCTTCTAGTTCAAGTTTAAACATGTTTGCTCGGATTCAACAAAACTACACTTTAGTGTATAGTGTATATCCAATACCTGAGTACCATTTTACATATAAAACATCTACAAATCACACAAGCGATTCAATGTTGGCAATGCAACAACATATACGTCCGTATATTTTTTGTGTCCACAATTCTTGAGCGAAGATCTGGAATTAAAGAAATTGCAGATAAAAAATTAAGAAATGTGAACAGTGTCCAAAAATAAAAAAAAGCCTACCTTAATGTTCCTGGCGGCGACGACAGTGCATAGCAACGCCACGACGAGTACAAGGGAGCGCATCTTCAATGTCTATTGCAGGGTGCCCGCGATGTGTTTGGTCAAACGCCAAATCCCAAATATATGACACTGCCGCTATTGTTGTAAAACTGACGTGCGCGATTAATTGGTGTCATATGCTACCCAGGTACGGTGCCACGACATTCATACCGGAAGTTTAAAACCAGTTTACACCCACCCACGCATGGCAACTCCCTAGCTGGCACATGTACGAGCCCCCTAGGTGATGTAATGCGAACAGTATCTCGATGATACGTGGTCATTTTAAACAAACCAAATTCAGCGTTGCTTCAATTTCCGTCAAATAAATCACGGTTACTAGAAGAACGGTTAGGAAACTCTATCGTTTGAAATGCTAATTATCCATTGTCTTCACTTTGATGCGTGTCCAACCAATATGGCGTCATCGCTTACACTGCTTTCTCCATTAGTTTTCCACTTGCGTCCACTAAGATTGAAGAAATAGAGCTCATCAAATCGAAAGATCGATGTAGAAGCATCACTGACTTCTGTTGGTGTAGAAAATTGTCATTTTTTTCAGTAGGGCGATCGTAATTCAGCGTCTGCTGATGTTCAACATGGCGACGAAATTTTGTACCTCAAAAATGCATCTCGGAACGTTCCACAAGTTGAATTAGAATCTGACAGTCTGTTATGAGAGCATTATGATAGTTTAAACAATGTTAGTTTCAATTCTTAGAAAAGTGCATACATTTGTCTCTCTTATAGCAATGACGGCCATCTTGTTTTTCCTGGCAGCTACCAGTAGCAGCAGGGTAAGTGGCACAGGAAATTGAATGGTTTCATAGTGCGGTTTTAATCTGAATATATATTAATATATATTATTTCAGTGTTCATAT